ATATGTATATACTTTTTTTTGACAAAAACAATAATATTAGTTTATTTAATGCCTTCTAAGTTTAACAGTACAACTGCAAGTCTTGTTGTTACTCTTGGTCTTTTTGTTTTCATGCAGATGTTGAGAAATGATCAATCGATCAATTGTGCTGAGGGACGTTAGTTGTTTTTTATGTCTGATTTTGTTAGTTTCACTGTTGAATTATTTTAAAGAACATTAAAGATTAAGATTGTGGTATAACGTCTCTACATGCAGACCTGTTTATGGATACAGTAACATTCTTTTCACGAGTTTTCTCACTCGTCACCACTTTCCCATGAGCCAAAAAGCCTCAGCCCACGTCTTTGTGTTCTCTATGAGCTCAGCAGTGAATTATGGGTAAATGTGAACGCTTCGTCTGGGAAGGGTGTCACAGGCTGTAATGTTTGCAGCATGTTCCACTGATTCATAAAGCTCGGACGTGCTGCTGCTGATGATTCTGCAGCAGTATTCCTGTAAACCCTGTCTGCAAAGAAGGGGAGGGTGAGGGGATGCATTTGTAATGGAATGTGGAGCCATTCCTGAGTCACGTTCAGCAGAGAGAACGCCGCCATCTGCTCAGCTGAATCACCTTCAGCTCGGCCAGAAATGCATGTGTGAATGAAGTGTCGCATTAGCTCCACTTAAGAGAGACTGATTTATGCAGCTAACCCATCAACAAAACCCAGAGCTTCATCCTCTCTGTCCTGTTCTGTCACTGTTGTCAGAGTCAGCAGAGTTCTTCTCATTCTTATGTAACCAGAGCGGCATGGCATCTTACTCTAACCAAAGGCATTCTGACTTTCATTCTGCCAAGAAACCCAGTCACACAGCAAAAAAATATCATTCAGTTTGAGTGTGTTGAAATATCCCTGGAATACTCCAAGTGCTCTAGGCCTCAGTGCGCCTCCATAAATGTCTTTATTTTTAGCCTAAAGCTCACTTTCAGAAGTGTCTTGGTAAAAACACAAATATGCTGCCAGGTCCTTGTTTGTGAACAGTTAACTCCACAGATAAAGATATTTCTCAGGTTTTCCTGGACGAGAATGCCCCTGACCACACGTCTATAGACAGAGTTCCT